GGAATACTGGGGGCGCTGGGGGTACTGGGAGCACTGTCAGCGCTGGAGGTACTGGGGGCATTGGGGTCCGTACTGGGAGCACTGGGAGCGCGGAGGTTCCTACTGGGAGCACTGGGAGCTCTGGAGTGCCCCGCGCCGGTTGTTGCTGAAACCCCCTTCCATTCCTAAACCGGCTCATCCCATCCCATCCCATCCCATCCCATCCCATCCCATCCCATCCCATCCCAATCTCATCCCAATCTCCACCCGCACCCCAACTCCAGTCTGCATCCCAAAGCCCCCCACTCAAATCCCATCTCTCCCAGTCCCTCCCAGTCCCATCCCAGTTCCATCCCAATCCCTCCCAGTCCCATCCCAGTTCCATCCCAGTCCATCCCAGTTCCCCCCAGTCCCTCCCAGTTCCCCCCCACCTCTCCCCAGCACACTCGGACCCCCCAGTCTCAGTCTCAGTCACTTTATTGGGGTGGGGGCTGCGCGGGGACATCACCGGGACGGGACGGGGGAGATTTGGGGGGCACACTGAGCCCCCCCCGCGGGGTCCCCCCGTGTCCCTCCGTGGCTGTGGGACCCCCCCCCAAAATCTCTACTTGTTCTTCTTGAAGAAGCTGAAGCGTTTCTCCCTCTCCTTGGGCTCGCGGGCCCGGGGGGCTCCCTCGGCCGGGGGGGGCACCGGGGGGAGGCTCAGGGCCCGCGACATCCCCTTGGGGGGACCCCCGGGGACCCCCGGACCCTCCCGGGGCCCCCCCGGACCCAGCGCGGCCCCGGCGGCGGCTTCGATCCCCCGGAGCCACAGGGCCATGTCGGCCTGGGGGGGACACGGGGACAGTGGGGACACGGGGGGGGGCAGGGGACACCCAGGGACACCCGGGGACACTTGGGGATACCCAGGGGACACCTGGAGGACACCCAGGGCACACTCAGGGGACACCCAGGGACACCCGGGGACATCCAGGGGACACTTGGGAACTCCCAGGGGACACCCAGGGGACACGTGGGGACACCCGGGGACACCCGGGGACACCCAGGAGACACCCGGGGACACCCAGGGACACTTGGGGACACCCAGGGGACACCTGGAGGACACCCAGGGTACACTCAGGGGACACCCGGGGACAACTGGGGATACCCGGGGGACACCCGGGGACATCCAGGGGACACTTGGGAACTCCCAGGGGACACCCAGGGGACACCCAGGGGACACGTGGGGACACCCGGGGACACCCAGGGGACACCCGAGGACACCCGGGGACATCCAGGGGACACTTGGGAACTCCCAGGGGACACCCAGGGACACCCAGGGGACATCCAGGGGACTCCTAGGGAACACCCAGGGGACACCCAGGGACACCC